AGGCTCCTTGCATTCAGCTTCCCTTGATTCACTGAGAAATTTGCAGCCCAAAATAGACACAATGCTATTTCCTCTTTGTGGCACAGCCCTGTCAAGTTCTCTAGGCCATTTTTTTTTACATAAGGTGAAAGAGAGGAGGCTCTGGAGATGTTTAAAAAAATGATGCTGGGCATGTAAAGTGATAGCTCGTGACTACAGCGTGCCGTTTGGAAGCAGTGATTAAGCTAGTTTAAGCCTCTGCTCCCCTCCCCTCTAACTTTTTCTCTCTGTCATGCTGACCCAGCTGTTTGTATGACCATACAGTGAATTGGATCAGGAAATGATACAGCTATAAATAGCACAAAGTAGGATGGGAGCGGTTGCTCTTCAGCCACTGAAAGTCCCCAGGCTGCTTCATAATGGAGCTGAGCAAACAGCCACATTGGGCCAACTAGCAGTGCATAAGTGGCCAGGAGGGAGGAGATGAGGGACGTGCAAATTGGTACTGCTTTTGAAAGAAGTACATGTGCAACCACAGACTCAATGGGATGAGCAAGGGAGTTCAGACCCGGCATCTGCTCCTCCAAGCTGCTTAACAAGAGCTGATCACTAACTCCAGCTGCATAATGTACACTTGAAAAATAAAAGGTTTATGAACTGGTCCTTCTCTTTTGGAAGTATTTCTCGTATGTTGAGTTCTGTTTAATGCCTTGGCTCTGCTTTCTCTTGGATCATTTCTGCTCCCCTGATGTAGTGGTTTCATGATATGGATGGCATGGTGGCAATATTAAGGCATTGTTGTGCTCTTTGGCTGTTTGCTAACACCCTCCCCCCACTGCAGTACACCATTTTCCTTCACTTGTGCCAGCAGTCCTGTTTGTGGGACTGTGCTGAGCACTGGCTCAGGGAAGCAATCCAAGTTATAAATAACCTAGCGGGTGGCTGGGGATGGCAAGCTTCAGCTATCTGAAGTAATCCGCTGTCACAAGTCAGCCAGAGCTGCTAGCAGCCTCAGGAAGTCTTGCATGCATAGCCTGAGAGACATGTTTTATAAGAAATATGAATTTTGCAGCCAGTTCAAGGAGTCCAGTGAAGAAGGAGTCAGGAATCCTTCACCTGATTTCCTATGTGCCAGGACAGCAAATCTTACTGTACACAGACCCAGAATATAGTGTCTTTCACACAGTGGATTTGAAAAAAAAAAAAATGGCAGTATACTATGAACTGATCAGCTGATTTATGTTGCTTATTCTATAGGATGGGGAGAATTACCATAATTTCTAATTGTACTTTTTTGTGTGAAAGGATACTGCAGATACAGGGACACCAAGCAAGAGAATAGATAGGTATTCTTCATAGGCATGAATGGAACAGCTTAGTGTTACAGGGGTGAGGTATCAATTTGTGGATGTGTTCTAAAAGTCTTAGCTCTTCTTCTCAGCTCTGGAAAATCAGTACCATCATTGCAGTGCATCCACACAGCACTACAGGATGACAGCAGCAGTGATGTGATTTTTGTCTGCTCATATCTTGGGAGGATGTAATGAAAATATCTATAATAAAAATAATGAAATTTCTATAATAAAAATAATGAAATATCTATAAAAATAATGAAATATCTATAATGAAAATAATGAAAATAACTGTAATAATAATCTTTAATAATAAAGATGACATCCTCTCATTCTTTCCTAGCCAAATCTTGTTTTCTTCTGACTTTGCTCTTTGATTTGTGCCTCCTGGAAAGAGTATTTATAAATATCAGCCATTTCATTTTTATGCGCTACTACTTGTGACTTCTCCCTCCCCAAGAAGAGCCCTACCAGGAGCTGTTTGGCCTGAGCACTGGTAACAGTGAAGGGTTAGTGCAAGAACTTCACAGCCTGACAAGTTTCAGCATCCGCTCAGGTTACCTCTCCACAGGCAAGATGTACACTCTAATCCCACACACTAATAGCTATGTCTGCTCTGAGATGGAATGTGCAGTTGAAGGCCGTAGTTACATTAACAGTAGAAGCTACACCACATATTACCCAGATGAAAGCAGTGATAAAGTGCCTGTGAGATGTGACTGCCCTGAGCCAAACCTGAAGGAGCTCACAGTAACCTGCTCAAAATAGGTGACAAGTTAACCATGACCCCGTGTCACGTGCCCTTGTGGCTAAGAAGGCAGGTGGGATCCTGGCCTGCATCAGGAGGAGTGTTGCCAGCAGGTCGAGGGAGGGATCCTGCCCCTCACTTCAGCCGCACCTGGAGTATTTTGTGCAGTTCTGGGCTCCCCAGTGTAAGAGGGACGTGGAGCTTCTAGAGAGGGTCCAGCGGAGAGTGACAAAGATGATTAAGGGAATGGAGCATCTCTCTTATGAGGAAAGACTAAGTGAGCTGGGCCTGGGGAAAAGAAGATTGAGAGGAGATCTTACCAACATGCACAAATACCTGAGGGGAGAATGTAAAGAGGATGGGGCCGAACTCTTCTCAGTGGTGGCCAGTGACAGGACAAGGGGTAATGGGTACAAATCAAAACATAGTAAGTTTAATCTCCATATGAGGAGGAAGTTATTTACTGTGAGGGTAACAGAGAAATGGAAGAGAGGTTGTCGTGTCTTCTTCTCTGGAGATCTTCAAAACCCGTCTGGATGCCACCCTGTGCCATGTGCTGTAGATGTCCCTGCTTGAGCAGGGAGGTTGGACTAGATTATCTAGTTGGATCAGCTGTCCAACCTCAACCATTCTGTGATTCTGTGTTATGCTTCAGCCAATTCCCTAGGACTATGCAGACAAGCCAGAGAGAAGGTTGCAAGTATGGCTGTGGGTGGTAAAGTCAATTTGAATCACTTTTCCACTTGGCTCTACAGGCACTGTTGAGCTCTGCTTTTCTCAGAGTGCTGAATGGAAGAGAACAAGGTGTCTGCACATCTTCGCACTTTTTTAATCCACGAGGATGTGGGATGTTGGTATGGTTTCCTGTAACTTATTGGTACTTTCATCTACCTTGAAGGGTTACTGTGATCTAATTATGCTGTCCCGTCCATCCCAACATGTCCCCCAAACACCTCCCTTCGTCAGTCAGTTATCTGCAGCTACAGGAAGGGATCTTCTGTTGACACTTTGGAGCAAGTATAGGACTATCTGATCCTGCTAGAGAAAACATAGTGCTTAGGAGGGCTAAAGAACAGGCCCTGTTCTTTATTTCTATGATTCTGAGTTCTATGATTCTATGATAAGTCTGTTAATTAGAGAGCAATGTTAATTAGTACACAGCTAACATAGCATAACAGAAAAAGTGACTGCAAAAATTAGTCAGCTGTAAGATATGAAGTGCGGCATTTCTCTTGAAGTGAAATGCTTCACTTTTGCTTTATTATTCATTCCAGTGGAAAATATGTCACATAAACCATTCCTTTTGAATTTTTGTCAGGTTTTTGATTCCTCTATAGGAAATCTCATGAAGAGTGATTTTTTTCTTCTGAAAATTCTCTTTTGGTCCCTGGTTCTCACATCTATTTACACGCACAAGTGTCCTAAACAAGTCTGGTCTGTGGGAAGAAAATAGACAGTTGCTACAGTTCATCAGGATCGCCTGAGAGGTGGATCAGCCGACTTACATTATGTACAATGTTCAGATTATTGAAAGACAAAAACATAGAAATTCACAAGGACTCACCTACACTTCAGTGACTGCAGCTCATGCTAATGAATCTATGGCAATGCATAGTAAAAATAGGTAACATAACATGTTAAAACGGTTCCTTTCTCAGGTGAGTTTTACACTCACTTGAGTGACCTTACAAATTCAGGTTTTCTGCTCTGCTTGTGCTGTTGCCATAAGACCTGTAGCTGAAAAAGCAGCTTTTATTGGCCAAGATTAGAGCATCATTGGTCTGAACAGAGGCTTCACCTAGCAGAAAACTTGAATTTTGGAAATCAAGACTGTAGGTAAAGATACAGATTCTTTTAGATGTCTCCACATCTAAAAGAATCCTGCCTGGGCTAGCTACAGGAGTTGCAACTGGTGCTTTAAACTGTCCTAGTCTCTTCAGAATTTAGCACAGGAGAGAATAAGCAAAAAGCCCCATTGAGATCTATTTCTGCCCTTCTCTAACTTTTCTTTCTCTGGAGATAGGGGTTCCTGCTTTCAGGCCAGTGTATTTAGGGAGGAAAAGGATCAGGGGAATACTGAATAGTCTAGTGTGCTTGCACAGACAGTTTTGTTTGCTTGATATATCTGAAAAGCTTACTTTAGGGCATTTTTATTAAATATATCTTTTAACGTAGTAAGCACAGAAAACACAACTCTTGAAGAGGAATTTCTTTCTCCAGTCATGAGCAATGAAGTAAGGTGGAATGTAAGAGAAGTTGCATTTCAGCAATCTCCATTACATAAATCTTGCTAGCAAGGCACTGCAAACCCGGATCCCATACAACGCAGCTGACAGAACTGGTAAGGCAATCTCAGAGTAGCTGAGATCTGCTAGAACCAAGTTCATCTAATAGCAGCTTTACTGCAGGACGAGCCTCTGCCTTTCTTTCTTGTGCAGGCAGGGTCAGCAATACACACCATCCTCCAGCTTTTCAGATTTATGCAAATACAGCAAATGAAATCAAAGGGAAATTCTAAGAAAAGCCCTCACCTCTGGATTCCCATTTGTATTATACATCAATTGTGCTAAGTAATAGTCATCCTTCCATGAAGGATGACATATGTATTTCCAGGTCTGGCCCTGTCAGGAGCAAAAACACTGGGATATTCAGGTCGTTCTGGGAAATAAAAAGAGAGAAAAGAAAAAAGGTGGAATAACAAAGAACACTGGGATGAAAAAAAATTTATTTCAGAGACATCATTCACGCATTTGCCCTTTTCTCTTAGATATTTGTAAAGTGCCATAGTATCACTGTAGTATCTAAGCACCAGCAGCACAGCAGGAAATTGCAGAATTCCCTCAACTGGCAGGAGAGTCTGGGTACCAAGGGTCTAAGATGGAGTGAGCAAGGGACACTGCCAAAATGAAGCAATTATTACCTTTTTTTTTTTTTTTTTTTTTTTTTCCCCTCTCCAGTAGTCTCTCACTACAGTCCTGAGGTGAAAAACAACCAGTAGAGGTGCAAGCTGCTGTAGAAGCCAACCTTGCGGTTCTTGACCTCTTGTACATGCCCATGTCTCAATCTTCTTGATTTGGCTTGGGAGTTTGTGCTACCTACAAAGTGATTAAATTCTTGGAAGGAAGGGAATATACCTTACATACCTTTTGCAACAGCAAAGAAAGCTAGATGGTCACAAACAGGGAAAAGAGAAGTGTCTGGGGGAAGTGAATGTTTTCAGTCAAGTGACAGTGAAGAGGGAAAACTAACACTGGCTGTGAAAAGGAAATCCAGAGACAGTGCAGTCAAATCCTAGCTAAGACTACTGCATTGGCAATGTGCTGTGAAGCCTAAGGCCACCTTGATTGGGCATACAGTTTTACATAGGTTCATAGAGAACTTAGAAATAAACTCACATCGATAGTTCTAATCTATAGAGCACTCTTTAGAGCATACAGCACTTGCCAAAGCACACTGAAGGAAAAGAGATGCTCTGAAGACTGTTATCAAGTATTCAAAGGTAGTTTGATTCTCAAACAAAAATCTTGATGTGAGGATTTCCCTTGTGAGCTCATGTGCAGACCCAGATGTGATTCCCTTTATCTGCTACAGTGTTTCACATGTAATTGAGGGCATATGTAATTCATATGTCATTTGTACTCCCCAAAGAAAAGATGCGTTCACTGGATGACTTTCTCGGGCCAACAATCCTTTCTAGCCAAACAGACATTTGTAGTGCTCTAGATTTCCTTCAGGAAACTTAAACTGGAATGGGTCAGGACTATACAAGAGGTTCAGTTCTGCAGCTGGACCTCTAGATGACCATTAGACACATTTCCAAAGCACTTTCCAGAAGAAAGTTAGAAACCAGGAGGAGAACATTTTAAGGCCATCCCTTAGGGAGGAATGGGGGGTAGGAGTAGGGAGGACAGCAAACAAAAAAAAAAGTAAAATGAAGAATGCCATTTCCAAAGGAAGGCTTTGATTCCTGTACAAATTCCACCCCATTTCAGAAAACTCCTTCTATTTCCCTGAGCAGCTGCACACAAAGGTGCCTTGTTCCTTTAGGAGCTGCAAACATGCTCCCCCTAAAGATTTATTTTTAATATTAATTTATTTTTAATATGAAAGTATTTTTATCAGCAGTTGAGTGTCAAGAAACAACTTGCAGAAAGGAAACCAGTCCCTTGGAGTGTAATGAGTTGTGCAGAACTAGCTACAGAACAGGCCATTTACAAGCATCCCTGCCAGCAGTTGCTCAAATCTCTGGATCTCCTTTGCATCTTCATTTCCTTAGACTTTTCCTCACTCTAGTCCCAGTATGGGGGCTTCATTTTGTATTGCTCTGTTCTGAAGACTGCTGAAGCCATGAAGCCAGCTGCAGGACCAGTGAAATATATGACAAAACTAGAAATCTTTCTTAAGCTCCAACAATATTGGACAAGCACACTAGTCAGGTATCATCACTAAAATAAATACCAGTAAAATAGTCAAAAAAAAATTAAAGTGTTGCATTGAAATTCCTTCTCATTAAAACCTGAATGAGTGGGATATATCCTTCAACTGCAGTTTATATGCATGTATGTAAACTGAGGTGGAGAGCTCTGAGTGCCGTTTAGAAGTCATTCCTTACTACCAGAGGTGCCACAACGTTGTGTGGGTACACATTTATAAGAACAACTCCAGATCATATACACAAAGGAATCAGAACAAAACTGAATATCCCGATATGAATTTTTAAATATTTTGATACAAACATATCTCTTGCAGCTTCTTACTGAGAAGTGCTGCTATACACAGTATGTTTAATGCCTTCAGCAGTACTGATATGGTATAGTGTCATACAACTGGCCCTCTTGACCACTTCCAAGGTGTGTGAGTGTGCAGATACACTTCTATAAAAGCAAGTCCATACATATGTGAATACAAACATATAGATGTTATTTACACACGCACACATATACACTGATCAAAACAGGATGTAGGGAATACTGGTACGGAATCAAGTCATCCTCCATATGCTCTTGCTCTGTCCCATTTTACAACGGAGGTTGGACCAGGCAACTTGGGCCATACGTATGAATCTCAACTCCGCAGAACGAGAAGGCCACACCAGCACAAACTTGCAAGCAAACTGTACCCCCCAAGTTGTGTACCACGGCCTTAGCAGCAGCAAGTGTAATTCTTCTTTTCTATTTTTAACCTCCAGGTTAGACAGTTGCCTGTATCAGTTACCCACCAGTTTCAAGATTTCCATAATAAGCTTTGTCCCCATCACACTGTTTCCATAATAAGCTCTGTCCCCATGCTGTTCCTACTACCCCAGCAGCATTTGCAGCAGCCTTTCGAATGCATTCCTTCCTTCCCTCAGGTTGCGTCTGCACTTCCCTTTTGCAAGCAGACTCAGGAGACCTTTGCCTGTGCTCCAAGCTGCCCCACGCACTGTGTGTGCATGATGCAGGGCTTATTTAGCTTTGGCCATCCTGGCCCCCACAGCTGGATCACAAGACGGCTGTGGTGAGCTTCCATAAACCTGTGCAGTATTATACAGGCCACGGCGCTTCAGCTAGGTGTGCTCCTTAAGGAAACATTCAAGGACCATCCTTTTTCCCTTGACATGGCCACACATAACCAAGAACCAGGCATCTCGCCTGACATTTGCTGTTTGGTCACCGAATGGGCACGTGCAAGCAGCTTCTCATGTTGCACATTTTCTCCAAGCACCTGTCACGGGAAGGTGGAGGGGAATGCCTGCACTTTGATCATGTGGCAGAAAAAAATGCAAGCACAGTACTTGGGGAAAAAAGCATGGCAGGACCCTGGAATCCAGAACGACTGCCCATCTTCTGCCTAAGCCTGAAGTGCACTGAGAGAAGGAGGTGGCTGAAAGTGGCAACATAGACCAGCGCTCTTGTTCTGGCTCACTGCCTGGACGAAACTAGGGGCACTGGGCCTGGTACCCTTGGTACAGATGTGGCCTCACCTCTACTGCTGCTCCCATTTTGAACAGGCCTGGATCGGGATCCGCATCCCAGAAGATCCACAGCCCACAACTATGCTATTGCCTACCACACATGTACTCGCTGGTGTGAGACTAAATAGGAGTTGCGACTGAAGCTCTTCCCACACTGGGAACACTTGAAAGGTTTCTCCCCAGTGTGGGTGCGACGGTGACGGATGAGGGTAGAGTTGTCACTGAAGCAGGTCCCACACTCCACACATTTGTAGGGCTTCTCGCCAGTGTGAGTGCGGCGGTGCTGGACGAGGTGTGAGCGCTGGCTGAAACTCTTCCCGCAGTCAGGGCACAAGTAAGGCTTCTCGCCAGTGTGGATGCGCCGGTGGATGACCAGCTTGGAGCTCTCGCTGAAGCATTTGTTGCAGTCAGCACACTTGTAGGGCTTCTCCCCAGTGTGCAGACGCTGGTGGGCAATGAGGTTGGAGCTGTCGCTGAAGCGCTTGCCACACTGGGGGCACTTGTAGGGCTTCTCGCCCGTGTGGAAGTTGGCGTGGCGGAGCAGGCCCGAGTTCTGGTAGAAGTTCCTCCCGCACTTGGCGCACACATAGGGCCTCTCGCCAGTGTGGTTGCGCTGGTGCTGCACCAGGTGTGTGCTCTGGCTGAAGCTCTTCCCGCAGTCCTTGCACTGGTAGGGCCGCTCGCCCGTGTGGACGCGCTGGTGCTGGACGAGGTGCGAGCGGCGGCTGAAGCTCTTGCCGCAGTCGGCGCACACGTAGGGCTTCTCGCCCGTGTGGATGCGCTGGTGCCGGATGAGGTCCGAGCTGCGGTTGAAGCTTTGCCCGCACTCGATGCAGATGTACGGCCTCTCTCCCATGAATGCTCTCTGGTGGACCACCGTGTCCTTCCTCTTCCGGAAGCCGCAGCGAGGAGCCTTCTCCGGCCTCGTCTCCTCCGGGAGGCGGTCGGGGCGCGGGCGGGCGATTCCCGGGGGGCTGCAGCGGGCCAGCAGCGCCTCCCTCACAAAGAAGCCCGAGAGGGCCCCGCGGGCCGCGGCCGCTGCTCCTGGCTGCCGCCTGCGCTCCTCATGCTCGCTCATGCTGCCATCACCTGCGGGCAGAGGGGGCAAGTGGCGACACGCGCGGCCCCGCTCGCGCCCACCGCGACCCCCGGCCGCGGCTGCCGGGGATGCCGAGCGCCCGCGGCCGGCGGCCCCCGCACCCGCGCGCCTCCGCCATGACGCCGCCCCTCTGCTCCCGCTCACCCCCGGCCGGCATCGCCGCGCTGGGGAAAGACTCACAGGGAGGTCGGGCGGCGGAGCCCGGCCGCCCGCGACCCCCGCGCCCCGGGGCGCTCACCTGGCCCGGCGGCGGCCGCCTCGGCCCGCCCTGCCGGCCGGGCCGCCCTGCCCTAGGGGCGGGCAGCGCGGGCCGCGGCGGCGCCTCGCGCATCCCCGCGCCCCGGCGAGCACTTCCTGCCCGCCCGCCGCGCTGTAACCCTTGCGGGCCCGGCCGTCGGCGCGGTTCTCCCGCCTCTCCCCGCCGCCGCCTGGCTCCTGCCCCGAGGGTCGCGGCGGGGCCGGACTGAGGCTGCAGCGGGTGCCCTCTCTGGTGGCGACAGCAGCGGCGCGGCGCGGGCACCGGGGTTGCTGTCCTGCCCTCGGGTTTCTCGTCGTTTCATGCAACCGCTTCCCGCCTCTCGTGCCCTGGCCGGGCTCGGGACGCGCTGGTGACGGGCAGGGCTGGCCGGGCTGGGTCGGGTGCCCGCTGAGCAAGGCTGGGGCAGCGCGTGGGGCACACAGCTGTGCAGCATATGGGGCACGCACCTGGGCGGCGCATAGGGCACACACCTGGGCAGCATGTGGGGCACACACCTGGGCGACGTGTGGGGCACACACCTGGGCAGCATGCGGAGCACGCAGCTGTGTCCCCACACAGCTCATCTGTGTGTGCAGCCCACATAGCTGCACATGCAGCATCTGTCCTCAGCTGGGCACCATGACACAGAGCCAGAGTTTCACAGGTTTGGTTATTACTGCCACATTCCCTCGACCTTTTCTTTCTGCTGGAAACAGGTATCCATCATTTTGCCTGACAGCAACCTGAAAAGCGCTGGGGGAGCAGAGGGGAGACGGAGCCGCAGGCAGCTGGAGCTGGGAGCTGTGGAGTCCCGAATGAGGAGGCCAACGTGATGTGATCATCATCTGTCCGCGGGTCACCCTGTAGCCTCAGATTGCCTTTTATAAATGCTTAGAAAGATGAAGAAAAGTGGCAGTTTTCAGCTTTGCTGCTTAATAATCAGATCACATGGGAAATTTGGAAAAAAAAAAAGAAAAAAATGGAGGGAAATTGGTTCTGTTGTCTCCCTTCTCCACAAATTGTTTCAGTTCTATTTCCAGTCGCTTTTAAACAGCTCTGCCAAGTAATGGTTATGCAGATGTTATACCCAAATGTTGCTTCATTGAGGTAAGAACCATTGACCAGAAGAATTAGTCATTAGAAGACAGAAATTAAAATATGTAGATAAATAAGAAAATCTATTCACGGGTAGGATGCAAAACAAGAGGAAGAATCAATGAAGTGCTTAACAATCCAATATAGTCAGTGTGATGAGGAGAAAGCCTTTGCTAAATTTATAGCAGTTGAGAGGGAGAGGAGCTTAAAATCTTGAAGAATAAATTTTAAATAGCAAGTGATAAGCTGGAACCATGTAGTAGCTATTGCATTCTGTTCCCCACAAGCTGGAGATCAGGTACTTGGGATGTCAATAATCACTGATAGGGAAGTTGATACCTGTGATCAAATTGTCAGGCAGCTGTGGAGATATCACCTGAGGAAGATTAACTGCATTTTACATGTTAATGTAACAGCATTACAAAGAGTGAAGGCAAAAAGGAGATGAGTATCAAAAAGGAAGATGACCTATTCAGAAATGATTTTGTTGCCCCAAAGTACTTCCATGTGTGTGAAGTGGCGTGGCTGCAGGATATGGAAATGAAGTCTGAAGTTTACTTAAGTAAAACTGGGAAGATGGCCAGGGAATCGTTGCTAAAAGCTTTGAAACATAACTCTCCTAAAGACAATGGTCATCGGAATAACAGCAATAAAAGGCTAGAGAGTAGGAGCAGCTTGGTTTTATGTGAATAATTTACAGTAATTTAAATCTTATCAAAATAATTTTTAATAGGGATTTTAATCATGGTTTAAGTCACCAAGTGAGCAAATTTGAATTAAGTAGGTAATAATAATCCTACTCTGTAGGATTATTTCCACTTCCCTGCCCTCCAAAGGAAAGGTTGATTTTCATTGTTTGGTGGTGATTATGGAGTTTTTAACTATGAGTAATCTTTACACAAAATCTAATAGATTTTCTTTATGGTGAGGAAAATACAGTATATGTATGCACAAGAAATTATAAGCATCATCATGAATATTTTGTGACACATAAATACTGAATTTAATTATTTTATAAAAGGTTGCAATACACTTTATTTTTTTTGTCAATTTTAGACATGTCAAGATTTTTTTGAATTAAAATTTTATAATACAATAATTAGGAATCACAATTCAATATTTGTAATTATTGAATCATACAATAATTTAGAATTATTTATAACACAAAATATAGAATTACAAATTTTTCTTATTACTGAAATAAGCTGACTATATTTTAAGAAGCACCTTATTTTTAAAATTGACGAATTGAATGAACAAAGCCTCAAAAAGAAAGAGCTGATAATTGTCATAGATCTGACATTTAATGTTTATTCATACTGGGAGAGTAAACTAAGATTTCTGGGCTTCATATCATCTTAATTTGTGGTTGATTTTCTTTAAAACTTTGGCAAAAGATATGCAGTGCTTCAATATATTTGTAATGTAATTTAAATAATACTTTTATAGGTTCCTGTCAGCTTGGACTTTAAAATGTATTGAAATATTTTCATATTTAATAGATTTAATTTTTAAAAAGAAAAAAGTATAACAGTGAAAATTTTAAAAAGTGATTTACTTCAAAATACTTCCAGCTAAAAATTCAGAATCATGGTCAACTGCTTTTATTAAACAACTTGGCTTGTCTGCTCTTTCTTCCACACTGTTCTTTTCCAGCCTCTTCCTTCTAGCAACTTTTACGTGCCTTCAAAATTCTACACATATTACTGTATCTGAAAAAAAAAAAATATATATATATAGTGTCATTTTACAAGTCTGGTTATTTGCTGTAGTTCTTGTATACATCATGGGAATGTCGCCATCAGTTACATTCTGCTGTAGCGCTCTCTGCCTGTGCTCGCAGTCTTTGAAGAATATTGATCTTCACACTAGTCTCCTCTTTCTTATCTTTACTGCTGTCAACAGCAAGTTTCCTTCTGCTACCAATCTCATGAATCAATCAGAAGATGCCCTGTTGGTGCTCCCTGTTGTCCTATATATCTTGTCTCCTGTGAGTCTTTTAAGTGAGATGAGATGGAGGCTGAGGCTCTTTCAGTATCCCTTTTACTATAGAATTAGCCCTATCTGTACAGATATATGAGCTACTTTCTGTTCTGTTCTGCAAATACTTTTAGTTTAGTACTGGTTTTATAGACACCTCTTGCCCTGTGCTGCTCAGCTGATAATACTGGGCTGGATGTTTAGTGATGCAGCTATTTCATGTTTAAATACACACGCTGCTCATCTGTGCATAGTGTTTTCTGGTCCTTTGCTTCAGAAGTCACCCTAGGTGAGAAACCTCTATCTGCTAAAGCGTATTAGCCCTTAAATCTGCTGGGATTAGTGACTACTCCTCTTTAAACAGAATCACGTGCTGGACTCATAATTTGCTTCTTGCACAGAGGAGCAGGAGCACTTCTTATCATAAGATGGAATGAAAAGGGAATAATTATACAAGCTGCATATGCTATTTGAAGTCTGGTGTCTACAAAACAGTAATATTCTAACCAGCTAAAATCTTGATGCCTGAGTCTTTCTTTCGCCTGGGTTCAGTTTAAAAAGAGTTTAGTTGATACCTTTATGGGCAGATGTATCTGGAAGTCCTGTCTATGAGGATGTGGCAATAACTGTCAGATGTGTAGATGTCTCTTATAATCAGGCTGCAGACATGTGACAGAGTTAATTTTTGAACTCGCAGACAATAATCTCTTGAGGGTAAACTTTCAATAGTCAAAGCTCTTCTGTTTGCTCCAATTCATGGAATATGGACCTGGTACTTTCATGTATGTGTAAATTAAAAAGACAGGAAGAAAACTAGGATTTCTGCCATCCTGTACCGCATGTCTGTGCTAGGAAACTGTTAATGCCTCTCTGGTACTCTTATATCCGTTTCCCTCTACTGTATTGCTAGAGCATTTCCTTCATGAGTTATATTCACACCTGGGAGGTAAGGAAATTTTTGTTTGTTTGTTTGTTTGTTTTTACATCTGTCTGGCTAGGGAACAGAGCCTAAGATCCTGCTGCATCAAGTCAATAAATGGCAGACTTTCATATGAAATATCACTGTTCGTCTGGGAAAGTGAACCTGGCACTCCAGAAACTTTAAGAAGCATCCCAAACCATTTTTCTCCTCTGTGGAGATGAATACTGGCGTCAGTTTGTGCCTTTTCCATATGCTTTTCAGATGGAACATTGCAGAATTCTCCCATCACTTTTTTTTGTCATCCTTTGGAAAATGCTTGCAAGACTGTGTGTGATGTCTTACTGCTCTCAGGAGAAACATTGTTTTGTAGATTGACCAGGAGGTGGCAGATTTGGAAGCTACTAAATCAGTCTTTTTAACTGAAATGTTTCCCACATGGGTTAAAAATGCCGTTTTCTGAAAGTTACTTCTTCATGCTTTTGAAGCAGCTTCTTTCTGTGTAAATCAGTAAATCTCTGTTTTTCAATACAAGTAGTCCCTAAGTGTTATTTGTTGTTAATGCTTCTTGTTAAATTTTTGGAAAATCAAAATTGAATGATTAGATTAATTGAGGAAGTTTTCTGTTACTTTGTTTACTTACTTGATTTAATGCAATATGTTACTTGATTATTCTTCTTCTTTGATTTATACTTAATTATTTGATTATACTTAACTAAATTTATAGAATCTGTGGCAAATTAATTCTTTTATCTCTTGTAGTATGCACAAGGTCCACACATGGGCTGTCCCAAAGTTTCTGGTGGGTAACAGGTTGCTCATACAATGAGGCATCTGCCCATTAGTGCTGGGAACTCTTCTGATTGATTGCCACAGAATCTCTAGGCTTCACTCCTTGAAGTTTCTAGAAGGTAGAACAAATAACTGCTGTTCTGTGTTCTCACCTATTACTGTTTCCTGGATATGTCTTCTTCCTCCTGCTAGTGTTTATGCAAGTGTGCAAGGTTCTGATATCATTTATTTATGAATATGTCAATAGATTTTTGTGAGATACCAGCCGATTAAATTCCACTGGGTATTTTGGGATGCCAGGATGGATGACTAAGATAGTTTGATTCCTTGCTTAATACAGGCCAAGGGGCTTTTTTGTATTAGTTCTCTGTGCAAATCCAATAGCTAACTTGTTATTGTAATAGTAACTGAGTAACAAATACTGGGTGAATATAATTTTTCTTTGTTTGTTTTATGCTGTTTATACTTCTGTGAGCCTTCTTGTCCCTTTTCATGGGACAAGATCACTAAAGGCATTTATATTATGTTGTAATTCATCATGACTTTTGAAGTCTATTTCTGAGGCTGTGCTCCCCTCTGATCCCGTAAGCATGGTCTGCAATCGCCAAGAATCAAATTTGCATTTGAGGAATTCACTTAATTATTCTTCCTTGCAAAGCAAGAAATCTCTCAAAATCAGGGAGCCTACTAAACTCTAAAATACAGGTACAATATACTACCAAAACAAAAATGCATGAAGTAAATGCCATGAATCATGCTTTAATCATAATCTTAAACTCCTTTGGTGCTTTTCTAATTACTTGTACTTTACATTTATTAAAATGTTCTAAAGTAGTCATTCAAATAGCCATCCTGTTTACAGTCATACTTTGTATAATTTCTTAGTTTCCTTGGGAATGAGCTGAGGCTTTTTTGTCCTGGATGATATTGAAAAGCTGAAATTTAAGCTGTATTCAATTAGAAAATGGCAAAACAACACAATAAATCATGCAAAATTTCATGGTATATGAGAATAGTTCTCCATTTGAGGGTTAGTATTAATGCTTCTCTAGACTGCAATTTTTTTAAACATCATTTAATTTGTTTTTTACAAGACTAGAAGCATAATCATGTTTCTGTCCTGCAAAGGGTCACTCAGAAGCTACTACAGTAAAAATTTTTCACAGTAGTAGTTCCCCATCTGCTGTTTCATTTATACATTACAGCTAAAATTAGACTGAACTACTGATTTTATAAGTGAAAATGAATTACTTTGGCCAAAACCTGCTCTGCATTTTAGGAAAGAAGTGACAGAACTTAAACTGAACATTTGTTAGTGTCCCATGTCTTGCCTAGTTCATCATTGGTACATCTGTCATCTGCTCATAGCTCTGTAGTGCTGGTGTGATGGAAAAGCAAACTAGCTTTTCATCGGAGAAGATACTTTGAATTGCAGCTCAGTTTTGTCTCTGCTTTATAATTTAGACTCCATAAACAAAGGATTTGTGATCTGTGTTTCCCAATGTCTGCTTTATTTCTCTGTGAATAAGTGTTCTGTAAACCCTTCAGAAAGAAGAAGAGAAGAACTTGAAAAGACGACAAAGCTGCTAGTTATAAATGGAGGAGAGGAAAGGTGAGGAGAGACCTTGCAGCAATATGTAGTCTTCCTCTGAAGACTTTGAGAGTGAGAGCAAAGCGAACTAGCATCTCCTAAGAGAATTCCTTAATTCTTTCACTTAAAATGAGAGGAGAAAATGCAGTGGTTTAGGTTTTACTTATTTTTACTTATCAAATTTGACAAACTTTAAGGGTCCTTTGAAAGGGAATGGCTATGGAAAGCAAACACAATATCCTTTTATAAAGTGCATGTGGAGAAAATGTTTCCACAGATGCCTAGAAACATGTAGCTCACCATGCTCACTGGGCTCTTGATTTGTGTCTACGTGGAATAGAAATGACATAGAGTGAAATCACTGACTGACATGTAGAAAGAACATGTCAGTCCTTCTCGTTAGAACTTATAATTTGTCATGAATGGACAGCTGGGACATAGTCCTGCATTTTTGGAAAGAGGGAGTTGTTGCTCTCCTGGTTTTGTACACTTCATGGATGCTGCCATAAAGATAACAATTCCATCTCACTGAAGTGTTCCTGGATATGAAATGGAAGAGTCAAACTACAGGCTGTTATTTAGAGTGTGGAAAAAGACCAGATCTTGGCCTGTAGAAAAGCTTCTGTACCAGAAATCCATGAAGGAAAGCCACAGAGAGTCACATTTCCTGCCCTTTTCCACTCTTAGGATGCAGCATGGCTTTTGCAGCATGTGCAAGTTTGAAAAACTTTACCCATCAGGTAATATTTTAATAGAAATGCATGCTGTTTAGAGGCATGTGACTAGTGCAGAGCTTGTGAAAACGTGTGGAACATAACGCACAGCAAAGAGTGATGTCTCCCCAGCACTTTTGTTACTTCATCAAACACTTGCTTGTGTGTGATGGCGAGGGAATATGATGGAAGGGGAGAGAGAGAAGGGAAGGCACATGGCCAGAAAAATTAACTGGCAGTTAATTCCTGAAGCTCTACAGGTACCACCATACCTGTCTTCTATTTTTGAGCTCAAGTTTTGACCATCTCTTTGTGAAAATGGCTACTGTATGTTCTCTGTCTCTGAACGCTGGGTGAGACACTTTTTTCTCTTTGTCTTCGTTTCTTATCTTACTAAGGTACACCACCACTAGGCATATGTGTTCATCATTAAAAGTTAACATTTCTGCTGGGACATCACTGACATGCCTCAAACATGCATCAGAACCTCATTTATGCTCTATGCTCTTTGTGTAATGAGTAAAATAGTCTTTATGCTGTACACATAATGAGTAGAATAATCATGCTGTCAGAGAGATTGCCTGAGAAGGATCGGATGAGACATGTCAGGTGACCCAAGTAAGTGAACATCATCAGAAAGAGTACAAGGTAATGAGAACATCAAGTTACCAGAGCATCCAAGACAGTCTCTGGAATAATGAAGTTCCCCCATTGTATTTTTAGGAAACAGTAACAAGGAGTGCATTCAAAGGAGAGCTGAACAGGAAAGAATCACCACATCGCTATCCGCACCACGAGGAAGCAGCGAGGGAGCTCTGCTAGATATTGCAGGGAGCAGAGGGCTCTGCCCTGTGCTCTCCCAGCCAGTGGGGGCAGCAGCAGCAGGGGCTCACTCTGACCCTTTCCTGTAGTCTCAAGGCCTCATGGTGCTGCAACAGGCAGAGCTGCCTGCAAGCTGGGAAGTGCTCTGCAGGAACAGGGTAGGTGCCTGAGTGGTTTTCCTGTTTTGGCTGTGCTGGAAGTGCTTCATGTACTAGTTGGTTGCAAAGGACCTTGCAGCAGAGGCTGGGGAGCTGCGCTGAAGCCCAGCATGTGCGAGCAGGATCAAATCAGCCCCCCACAGCCAAGTTTTTCAGAAGCTCCCCAGGGTTCTGGCCTTTGGGGCTGCAGCAGGACGTGGGGGTTGGGTGGGGGTTATTTCCCCAGTATGAATTACTGTCTCCCTCAGCACTCAGCACCTAAAGAGAGCCTGCACCAAGCCACTGGGGAGGAGCGGTGGCCCCAGCCCTGCAAGTGCGAGGCCTGAGAGTGAAGCTCAGCTGAAGGTATGGACTGGGGTGGGAAGAGGCAAGTTGCTGTTAGGGAAGTTAGTGCAATCACTTATTTTCTTTAAAAAAGATTATGCTATAAATTGACATACTTTTGAGAGGCTTTCAGACAGGAATGGACTGATCATGGAGGGAGACGGGGAAACTGTTAGCAGAGGTGGATGCAGTAAGGATTTGGAAGGAGTACAAGGTGTTGAGACTGTGGGGAAATGCGCTGCTATGCTGGGAGCCTTTGCTGTGCTTAGCAAGTGCTTATGTATATTAGGGAACTTAAGGAAAAATTTCTTGGTAGTGATAGAGCACTGAAACAGGCTGCCAAGAGAGATTGTGGAGTCTCCGTCTCTGGAGATCTTCAAAACTTGCTTCAACACAGCCCAATGCCACGTGCTCTAGGTGTCCCTGCTAGAGCAGGGGCGTTGGACTAGATGATCTCAAAGGTCCCTACCAACCTTAGTGATCCTGTGAAATTCTCGTTGCCCGATCTAAATGTTCAATAGCATGTGTAGGTTTACCACTGTTAATACAGCCTGTAGGTATTTTGCAAAATGCGTTGCACCTGTGCCTTCCTCTCCTTCACCTTGTTCTGAAGAAAACGGTTACATGCGCCAGCTTTCCTCTATTTTTCTAGATGGAGCTAGCAACAGAGCCCAGGTTTTCTCAACTCCAGGAGGCTGCAAGAAATGAGATTGCAGGAGGATCCTGTACAGGTGAGAAGTAAGCTTTTACCTTTAAGCTTTTACCTCCATGATTTAACTAGCAGAGTTTGAGATTTCATCAGGGGTGCTGGGAACTTTGCTTTTCTTCTTCTCAACTCTCTGCTCTGCCCTATTTGAAAGGATGTGTATTACATGCTAGCTAGGCTAGCCTTTTTTGTTTGCTATGAGTCTATAGCAACTGTTTTAAGATAAGAAAATATGGTTTGGAATGAAGGAGAGCAGATGTACTCCTTAGCTTTTCTTTTTCAATAGATAAAAAAGGTATGAGTTGCAGCACTGCATCTGAAATACTTGACTGTCTGGCAATACTTTTGGATGTCAGTGAAGGGTTGTTCTGTTTCCTGTTTCACTGTTGAAGTCCTGGGGCTACTGCATGACCTGCTACAAGAGGTGGTTGGTTGTAGAGTGAGAGAGTGACCACTCCTGCTCCTACAATGCCAGTCTTCATCCTCCCCGAAGAGACTGCTGATATTTTTTAGTCTGCCCATAGCTCTAATTCTTTCATGTAAGAACCCTTCCCTTTTTTTTTTTTTTTCTTTTATTGCTGGTATTTAGAGCTTGGCAGCTGTGACTATGCAAATAAAGATTACTTTCTCTCTTAACAGACATGTTAGTTTTTTGTTCCTTAGTCTAACAGATGCAAGACTAAAATTGCACTCTGCAGAGTTTTACTTTCAACATAGAAAGCTTGTTTTTTATAGCAGATTAATAAAACTAATGTGTAAAATTAAGTATATGTAGTCTGAGTAACTGAGTATTTTAATGCTAAATGAGGTCTGCTAGTGCACCTCTAGGTTACTATTAGCAGTTGCTGTCCTAAAATACTTGCAAAAATAAAGCAAAGTGCACATTAGGTGATGTTAATAATTCTTTTAATGCTAAAGTGATGTAAATATACCAGTATCAGAGTAAGATAACCAAAGCTTGTTATGGGGCACATCGGATCATATATAGTCATTGTTGAAATAAATAAATGACATTCTTTAGGGAAAAAACTATGATTATGACTATGAAATTCCCTCTAGTGCAGCTTATTTAGCTTTAGCTCACTGCAAACAGGTGACATACAGAATCTAGATATGAAATAGCTATTAATATAAGTATTTATAGTTTATTAATATTAATATGCACTATTACTAATTTTAGCAATAAAGATTTAATGTGAATATACAGTATTCCTGTAAGAGTTTTAATATCTCTTTTATAGTAAGTGGAGTGAAGAATCTGACATATTGGCCTGTCAGTAGTAGTTTAAAAAAAAATTTAATACAATTAAGGAACAATCTAGATCTTCCTCTTGATTTTACCCAGCAATGGTTAAGAAGACCTTTTGTTTTCTTCTCCAATCTCCCTCCAACCACACAATAGTAAAACTCTCTTGTAAAAGTGAATTTAACAGGTTGAAAAACTTTTGGACTAAGTAGGGTGTAGATTTCTAAAATTAGATTTTCTTTTCTTTTTTCTTTTTTTCAAGATATTTTGGATTTTCTTTTCCCTTGTCATTTTTCTTTGTTTGGCATTTCCTGCAGATAGAAAAGCAGCAATTTTTTTACCTTTATCATCGTCTTTTCATTTTTTTCCCCTTTCCTTCTTAGCTCAGTCTTCATAGTTTTGCCTCTCTCTTTGGAAAAGAGAAATGTGGTGCAAATAGATTCTGGCTATTTTACAAACACTATATTGATATTGGGAAATGAGCTGTGTCAGTTTTGTTTCTTATTCCAGCGGAGACCTGCATCCTGAGTGAAAATGAAGAGAATGAGGCAGAGAGGGGCATCCAGGAAGCTCTTGAGCAGGACATGTTGCCTCAGCTGGCTGAAGCCCGAGGTCTGAACCGAAGGGCAGCCAGTCTGCAGAAGCCGCAGAGGGCAAGCTGCAAGAAACTGCCTCGCCAAGCAGGAGGCTCCAGGAAGCTAACTGCCCTTACTAATGATCAGAAAGCTCGCACCGACGATAAACCCTTCAAATGTACAGAGTGTGGGAAGGGCTTCAAAGGGAGCTCTACTCTCTTGAACCATCTGAAAATCCACACTGGAGAAAATGCTTTTGAGTGTTTAGAGTGTGGAAAGAGCTTTAACAGGAAGGCCAACCTTGCAGTGCATGAAAGAGTTCACAGAGGAGAGAGACCCTACAAATGCCAAGAGTGTGAGAAGAGTTTTGGCCGTAGTTCAAATCTTATTGCTCACTATAAAACCCATGTGAAAAAGAAAGTCTTTTCTTGCGGCATGTGCAGCAAAAGTTTCAGTGGAAACTCAGCTCTCTTCCAGCATCAGAGAATCCATATGGATGAAAAGCCTTATCGGTGTGATGAGTGTGGAAATAGCTTCTGTCTGTGCTCCAGCTTCATCAAACATCAAAAGATTCATTTGAGAGAGAGACCCAGTGAACGCATAGCAGGTAACTCATCTGTTCTAATCTGTTGAGTGTGCAAATTCAAGCTGTACGAATTTACAGAGGATGAAGTGGACACTGATTCTGTTCATTCCTAAATGCTTGTCCCTCCTTCCTATGGTAGGTATAGATGGTGTGCTTTTTTTTTTTCTTCTTCTTCTTTTTTCCTCCTTCCTCTATAATAAATCTGACTCATCATTTGAAGATGTGCCTATAAAATGCCAGTGTTGAAGTTCAGATTTTGCATTCCCCAGGGGCTGCATGAAAATGAGTTTTATTAACTCCTGGTTACTAGTGTCTCCCGATGCTCAAGTTTAGGTCTTCATAAGCCAACAAGTTACTTGGCTTAGATAGGAAGGCTCTGTAAACTGGGGCCTTGGTAGCCTGTAGCAGTAAATATTGCTGTATATGAATAATGTTTCCTACTTCTAATGAAGATTAGCAGAATAGAACCACCGATAAAGATGAAAAGCTTTTCATTGCCTGCACAAAAATGCTCTTGATAATGGGAAGTCTCTTCTGACCATCCCTTCTTAATTATTAGTGAAGTATAAGCTCTCAGGTGAGGTAGTTGCTTAAAGTAGGGAATTTTCTAGATTTTTGCAATATGTCATGTTCTTAAAAGAATGGAATATTTCATTAAAATATATTCATTAAAATTACCAAAAATTGTGGAACTAGATACTTGTTTGTTTTGTTAAAGGGACAGGCATATTAGCAGCAGGCTTTATATGTGATCTAAGATTTAACAATTTAAAGTCTTGCCAAACACGACCAAAGATTTAATGACAAGATTTTTCTGGCTGATAAAAAATAGTGTTAATCTTAATGAAGTTATAATTTCAGTATAATTTGAATGGCAAAACTGAATTCCTCTTCTAGGTTTGAAGAAGTCTTGGTACAGAGGTACTGAAAAATGGCTGAGCTAAAGAGCAGTAAAAGTGAGAGTTCCCAGTTGTAGAGGATCATTTTAACAGCTTTTTAGTTTTTTTTTTCTCTAATTCACAAGAAAAAATAATGTAGTTTCATTATTAATCAGGCAGTTTGCCAGTAAGAAAAATCAGATGAACTTAAATCTGTGCCCGATTCAAACCAAGATATCAAAATATATTCTAGAGGAACTATTGCTACTGTATCATTGTAGTCAAATGTCATTCTAAAATTGCCTGTATGATGACACGTGTTTCATTGACCTTGTGATGTGTAGATTAGGAATTAAATTAGATTTCCATATTGGATATGAACTCAAAGAAGTTTACATATTATAACTTAGATATGCTTTTTTATATCTTGGCTTTTTTATTCTTTAACAGCTCCACTCCTTCTGCTTTGCCTCCTCCTTCTTCCAATGGGGACATAGGAAAAGCAGAAGGAAGTTTGTGAAGTTTATTGGAGTGTGGGTGAGAATGATAGTAAAGGAGATCTTTTGATTGTAAGAAAAATCAATTTTGTAATTCTTTTGTAACTTCAGATGAACATACCTTCCTAGTCTTTGCTTTGATTTGCCCTAGTTTAAGTTATCAAATGACTTGAGTGAAGTTTTGTGATTAAAATGTGGATGAGAAGAAAGATTTTTACAGAACTGCCTTTTCCTTGGGTGAAGGCAGATTTTAAAATGCTGCTGTAGTGATTGGGGATTAAGTGGGCCCTTGACTTTAACAATCCTCTTCTTAGATGCAAATTGTTCTGAATTTATATCTCCGCATCATAAAGAACAGCAGAGGCGTGACACACAGAAATTTGAGATGGGCCACTCCAATCTCGTTTTTGAAGAGTGTAAGTATAGAAAGGCTTCTAAATTGCCATCCATAGTATTCCTGCATTGCAGACATTTAACATTCTCTTCTCTTTGTACAGTGAAGAAAATGAGAGAAAACATGGATATGTTGCTTCTGAATCAGCAAAGTCAGCTGCAGGTCCTGCAAGAAATTCAGAAACAGCTGAATATACTCCTCCCAGGCAACGATCTCATCAATTCCAATGTCTATAGCTTAGGACTGCTGCTAGGACGACAGGCGGCTGCAATGGCATCTCTCTCTTTTCCCCTTCTTAATCCTAGCAGTCTCCTTACTGAAAACACCCGTTTGTCTGCTCCTGAAATTCTCTCTACCTCTCAGCTTGCAGGCTCACAGTTTCATGCAACTTCTACAACTTCCTGATCTGCTTTATCTTATGAATGTATCAAATGTGAACAAATGCAAGTACTGTTTTGTACTGTTTTACCATCAAGCATGTGATTTTTCTGTTGTAACTGTGCAATTGTACTGTTTTTTTGCGGGTGCTGGCCTTGTATTCAGACTTTCAGCATGTGCATCACTTATGTGCATCAGCAAACAGAAGCTGTCATTGTTTCATTTCAAAACGCATGGATTTTGGATAGAAATATATTTTGTTAAGGCAGCTTAAGAGATCTTCGTTGCTGAGGTATGGTTAAATAGAACATCCATATATGATACTGTGTAAAACTTAAGTACTTAAGCATATTATTCTAACATGTATTAGATTTAACATATATTTGGCTGCTTTTACCTTTTACCTGTTCTAGTGAGCTGGCATTAACAAGAAGGTCATCAGGAATGTTTTAAGCAATTCTTCTTAAGTCTGTTTTATATAGAAGTCTGTAACCAGTAGGTTTATGTAAAAGTATTTAGTCTAACACCACTTCTGTTCCAAGCATCTGTTTATAAAATCTTCCTTAATTCAATGAGGCTTTAAATTAGGTGATCTTTACTGACTCTCAGGCCAGCATCACTAATAAATCACAAAAAGGGTTGGGGGATGAAAAAAAAGTGCTTGCATTACTCACATTTGCTTTGATTGCCAGAATTTCATGAGGAAAAGGCAATTCGAGTTATAGAACATTTGTTCATTTCCTCAAAACTGTCCTTACTTGAATCTATTTTCAGATACTCCATCATACCCTGCTGGGTTACTGCATGTTGACTGTTACATATTTGTTAGAGATAGAATCAGTGGGGTAAATAACTGCTGACTTAAGGGGACACTGAGAAGCTCAGATGCCCCATCTTGTAAAATCTGCTAGATGGAATTGATTTTTTTTTCCTGCCTGTGAAGGACTGGGACCTTTTAAGGTTAGTAACAATAGTATGTTGAGAAGGGTTAGCCCTTTTTATCTTCTTGTTTCTTTCTGTGATACAGACTAGTTGTTATGTCAGCACCTTTGAACTTCCAGAGCACAACAAAGCTAATTTTGATTCACTTTTTTTGGAAAGCTGCTGGGATAAGTAAACTTTGGGACTTGTGCCTGTACCATTTTGAGCTTCTGTTGTGTTTTTCTTGTTTTTTAAGATATCCTGTTGAAAGTTTCCATAGTTCCTGCGTAATAAAATATGATTTGTATTTTAAGAATTTTAACAAGTGATCCAATTGGTGATATTCCATGGAATAATGTCACAATTTTGCCAAAAGATAAAGTATGATTTCAGTATTACTGTTTCTTTTCATGTGGGTACAGATTGTGAAAAATCACTCTAGTTCTTACTGTGTCAGAAGAGCATTCATTTAAGCCAAATTGAGAGTGAGCACTTAAAGGGTATTTCCATTAACAACTGAGTTGTGTTGATGTATGTTGATGCTTAAGAACTGCAGTAAATGTTTCTAACAAATTGTGGAGGCTGTAGGATTCCATTCATGATTTCTAAACAAAAGCAAATGTAACATTCAAGAAGTGTAGTCCCCTCTTCAAAGTAATGGTTCAAATTTGTATTTTAGTGTTTTCAAGATGTTCAGTATTTAGGGAAAAAAAAAAGGCATTTTAGGTTAGAAACTAATCTTTATTGAGATTCTGTCCTTTATAAAAGAGTACCTGTGCTTGGTGTCTGATGCCTGAACTTGAATACACTACTCTGTGCCCCCTCTCTAATTCTTCACATTTTTCTCCTATCTGTCTTCCCCTTTCCTTGCATGTAAGTACTTACATTAATGACTTCTGAAACTTCAGAAGAAGAAGATGTAATGCAGTTTGCCACATTAGTAACTTAGACTAGTTAGAAAGAATCTCAAGCTGGAGAGAGAAAGAATCTCAAGCTGTCAGGTGAGACTTCGACGTTTTTCTTCCTACCTGTCAGGAAGTTCAGGAGCAGTTCAGAAAAAAAACTGGGAAAAGCTACGTTCTTTCCCACTGCTGTACTCTATTGCTTATCTTGGATCCCATCTAAAACTGGGCGAAAGGCCTGCACGACCTCTGAGCTGCAAGTTAGTTGGGGTCTGCAGGAAAGGAGAGGATAGAGAAGCAGAAGACACCATTGCATTTCTTATTTTTGATTACTTACTCTTCCAGAAAGGAGGTGGAAATCTCTTCCTCCTCAAGCACTTGACAGAAAAGCATCTCTGATGCTTAAAAAAAAAAACAAAAACCAACAACCAAAAAAAACCAACAACAACAAAAGACCTAGGATGTGGTTTGGGGGCTTCCTGTCTAGAATGCTTCCATCATCATACACTGCCTTGCAGTGCTCTGGCCCTGATGTAAAATGGTGAATGTTTGGCAGTGGCAAACTTGGATAGTCTACCAGGAGTACTGGAGAGCTCTGCAGTGCGCAGGAAGATGTAGCTACCCTTGTCAACTATGAATCTGTGGCCTGTACAGGTGAAGTGGCTGGATGGCAAGTAGACAACTAAAGGATATTGGAAGAGATGGTCGTCTCTAACAATTGTATTTGGAACAAAGTCGAGCTTGGAAGCTTAGTACCCTAAATCACGTCAGTGCACTTCCGAGACCATTGTCAAAAAAAAAAAAAAAAAAAAAAATCAAATGCACAGACACTTGTATATGACAGAGAAAATAAGGCTTGAATTAATTCTGTGCTAACTATTAGAGTTCTGCAGGAGGGAAGTCTACTTTCAGTGTGCTTGCTGAGGACAAATCTATTAAAGCATCCTCTTTTCAGGTATGGGAAGGAAATGTTTATATATTTATAAGATCATGTTTATATGTTTACATTTTATCTTAAATGTTATATTATGAGAAAACTCAGACAAGAATGCACCCAATGAACCTTTGTACCATTTCATATCAGCACAACCAAAGTATTTGACCGTTCTTGAGCTGTGTTAGAGCTAGCGTGTGAGGTAAACCTGCTTTTCAGGCTCTGCACAACTCTCTTGTATCCCTGTTTGTCATTCTGAAAACTTGTCTCCTGAGGTTTTTGTTGATGATACTTTTTCTATCATGCAACTAAAGGCAATGAAAGGAAACTTTCATTTTTGCAGATAGTGTCCACCTCAGATGCTAAATAGTGTAAAATATGCTACTTGAGGTCTGATTAAGTTCACATACCTAATTGTGGCATGCTCCTAGCAAATGACTTTTAGTGGTAAAGCTCCTGCTTGTAGAATAACCTGGCTTCTGTTGTGGTTTGTTTTGTTTATTTTTCCTTTCCTTTTGCACTGTTTCTGAAACTCCTTCCCACTTCTCTTGAGTTATTATTACTATTCCTTTGGCTAATCCCTGCTGCTTACCATTTCCATTGCTGTAATTTAGTCTTTAAAATTCCCATAAGGAAAACATATATAAACAACAGCTCCAAATAAATAATTAGTGGGTGATCATAATAGCATCTGATAAACTTTGAAGGACTGTTATCTTCTTCTATTTACATTAAATTACTCCTATTATTTTTGTCCTTTTTTTATATATATATACTGTTATGTATTCCTGTATGCTAGCAGCTTTTAAAAGTAAAAAGAACTGTAAGCCAAAAGTATATTAATTAGAGTAACCTCTTTGAATCAGGCACCAGCCCAAGTGAAAGAAGCAGGAACAAATAAATGAATAATCCAGTAGCAGAGCCTGTAATACTGTTCTGAAAGAAAACTGATCTTTTCCAAAGAGCAAATACTATTTGAAAAGTTGGAATTAGCCTAGGAGCAGAGTTAAAGGAAGGGGACTTCCCAGGCTCCTCTACTGCTGTCTCTTTCAGTTAAGAAGTTGTTTTCGAGATGCATGGGGGATCCAGAGTCTTCAACAGACAAAGTAAGAGTATTTGCAAAGAGTATATCTAAGATTAGTTTTACATCGTTATAATGTCCCTCTTGCTTGGTTTGTTTCCAGAATGGGGTAACCTGGAGAGCTTTAAGTAGGTTAAGTAAAAATCTAATTATCTCAGACAGCCAGGTTTAATTTTCTGTACTGATTTTATCTCTGAAACCTTCCTGTATGTTGGTGTCCATGGAATAAACAAAAGAAAAGGAAAGAAAGAAAAACAAAATCTGTGATTTCAGTCCTTTTTTTATATAAATTGGGGAAAAGAAAGCAAAATGGCATCCAAATTATAAGTTTATTCTTTTTTCTGCTTATTTTTAGAGTTACTTGTCATTTCCACCATATTACCTACTTCATATGAGTATCATTTTGCTTAAGATTTTTATATTTTGCATCCAGAATTGCATTTTATCACTGTTTCTTTTCATGCAATAATGTTTCTGTTTAAGTGGTCCTGATAAAGAGTGGACAGGGCGCCTGAACACCAAGGGCTCAGCTATTTCAGAAGGTAAAACTGCTGGATAATTGCACTGTTTTGAACATGTATTAATAGGGGCAGATTTTTTTGAACTTTTTATTTAAAGTACCCATATTTTGGAACAGGGGCATGCAGCTCTCCCTATTTTTAGCCTTTTTTTCATCTTTCTTAACTTTCAACTATCTTAATCTATCTTAACATAAACTCCTACAGCAGCTCAAGTGACTCACATTCCAGAAAGAACTGGATCTGTTCTCCCCAGACAATTAAAAAAAAAAAAAAAAAAAAAAAAAAAAAAAAAAGTAACCCAGATTATCTAGTTTAAACATGTCTGAAGCTGATGAAATGAGTAACATTCCCAGTTTCTAAAAGCTAGGTTATGCAATGAGGACTCTGTGAGCCCTGTCTTGGGAGCACTATTTAAGTCCATTAAGGAATCTAACCTGTAGATGCTGCAGCTATGTGTGTTCTAGAAAGACACCTCCAAGGAAATTATTTTGGCTTCTTAGCAGAATTTGAATGGTATGCCCTAAGAGATTTTGAGACCGCACATCAGGTAATAGAGGTTGAAAAAAATCTTTTGAGTACTTTCCTCATTCATCCATCAAGCGTACCAAAAAAAGTAGTGGTTCTTCAACAAAAGCAGTATTTACTTATTATGAAAGATTTTTTTCCTTAGGTTAGATAGGAAGCATCAATTCTGATGTTTTCTAACTTTTGAGTTCTTTCGCATAAAGTATGAAATCTTTGCATGCTCCAGTCATTTAGTAACCATTATAGAAAGATATATGTGAAATATACAAATTGAATATACAGATTCTTTTACTTAGATATGATTGTGTTTTAAATACTGATCAAAAATATTTCCACTGTTATTTCTCTATATGAAAATACTTGTATGCTATATCTGCTGTGATTTCCCTTATCCTTATGTGTAGGGTGATTGCGATGAAGCCAAATGCTAAATTGATAGCACGTATTTTAAAATATATTTCTCGGGTATTTATATACTGATATATTTTGAGGTACTCTACAGAGTTTATAATAACATGCATAAAATAATTTTATTTTTAGGGAGACTTTCTTAAAATAATACATAAATCCACTTGGTGACCTTTTTTTCCTTTTCCACGTAGCTTTCTAAGTTTGTTTTCTATATGCTATGTAAAAAAAAAGTTAGAAAAGAAGTAAGAGATTGTAAAACAAATATTTGTTAAACATAGTTTTCTCCATTTTCTCTTGCATTTTTAAAACTACCAAAACTATTTATTGTGTCACATGAGATTATTTTTACATTAAAATGGTCTGTTAATGAAGTAATGACCAATGTTAGCAATGGCTGATGTGTTACCATAAATGTAACAAAGTCTATTTGCAAAGTCTGCAAATTAAGACCCGAGTAAGAAATCCAGACCTGCCAAATCTAATTTTTAAATGTGTATTTGTGGTGACTCCCTTCTGAGGGGAACAGAGGGCCCAATATGCTGACTGGACCATTCCCACAGGGAGGTCTGTTCCCTCCTTGGGGTCTGGGTAAGGGACATCATGATAAGGCTCCCAGATCTTGTATGGCACTCTCAGTATTACCTGTTATTGCTCTTTCAGTTTGGGAGCGATGAAGTTGCTGAGAGAAGTCTGAAGCCCATCAAAAGGAACTTCGGGGCAGTGAGGAGATACACTGAGGGAGTGGGAGTGCAGATGGTGTTCTCCTCTATCCCTTTGATGTCAGGAAAGGACATTAAGAGAAACAGGTGTTGATCACCTGATCAACAAAAGGCTAAGCGGCTAGTGTCATCGGTTGAGT